TTTTGCTATGGTTCAAATTGTATTCAGGATAGACTATAGATTCATATTTCTGAATTATTGTTATCTATAAGTATATTATTGAGTATTAAAGACATACAAAACCACACCAATTATGCTATTAGTCTAACTAGGTGTTTTTATTAATTGTGTGGCAAAAAAATATTTTTAATAAAATCATTATATTTGCAAAAGGATGTCTAAAAATATCTGAAATAAAATACATTTTGAAACACAATATTAAAATAAAAAGATGGCCCATAAATAGCACAGTCAAAACCAAAGTCAATCAATTGAAGTTCCGGTAAAAAATAAAATTGAAGTTCCGGTTGCCACTTCAATATAATAAGAGTGCTATATATTTTTAGTAAACATTTTTTTTCAATATGCGGACGGGTTAGTATTGAAACAGATCCCCAATTAAAATAAATTTTTTGCCCTATAAGAGGTGCTATAAATTAGTCCAAAAAACCATTAAGGAGAAAAGTTTAACTAAATTAGCGTAAACTTTATTCGTAACTCGGTCTGCCAGGGAAAGTATGAGTTTTTTACACCCCACTAAATAACCTTGGATGGGTGGACCAGTTTTATAGTGGACGTTTTGGCTCTGTGGGCTTAATTTTATAAGACTGGAGGATATTCTGAAATGGCAGAATTTTTATTTTTTCACAAAATGTGCTAAGCTGAAGGTTAGTTATAATATAATCCCTTTTATTTTGGATAATTCACCGGTGTTTGTGAAAATGAAAAATACTAATGAAGCCTTTTTAAAATATTACCTAAAATATAAAAAAATGTATCTAGTAGAGAATTTGAAATTTTCCTCGACGTGGAAACATGTTTTTTGCTTTTTCATTAAATGGATCATACTTATCCCGTTTCTTTTATATTTGTAAGTGCAGTTGACGATAACTTAAAAATGCGTTTACACGTCTCTTTAAAATCGTTAGTTATCTGATGGCAATAATAAAGCTTAAAAACCTATGCCAAATTATGTATTTAATAAAAATGAAATGTTGAGTTTATAGCAGAAATTATTCAGACATATAATATTAAGTTTAAAATATCCCCCAAGTGAAGGATCCGAAATACAAAGTCCAAAATATCACGTTTTAGTAGCATTACTGTTTTCTTAACAAAAACAAACAAACAAATAAGCGGTTTTCTTAACGATTTACTATGTAATTTTTAGAGATTGAATTATTTATTTCCACAGTAAACTTCCTACTACATCAAATCTGTTCATATTTATTAACACAATTGTTTGAAATGAGAAAAACGATAAGTAATCAATATCATTAATTTTATTAAAAATAAGGGACATTCTTTTTCTAATTTATACGATTTTCCACTAGATAATGAGATATCAAAGAAAAAATTTTTTAGTTCCATAAAAATATAGTCAGTAATAAAAGAGTGTTCTTTTAAATGAAACTAATATTTTCGGATTTTACTTCGCGTTTTATTTTAGAAACTACATACTCCCGACGTTTCGGCTACTTTTCAGCAACCGTGACCACGGGCAGACGAGATGTGAGTGTCTGTCAGTTGGTCTGGTCATTTTATCTCCTACCGCCATCGATTTCTTAATTGTCTTGCGTACCGCTCTGGATGCCGGCAAAATGCGCTCACGGTGTCTTGAGGTCCTGCGGTGTGGTCACGGACATGGGATTTTATATTTTTAAGAAGAGGATCCCAGGTGTTTGATAGGTTCCAGCCATCTTCTCTATTGAAATTTGGGTGTTTTTTAATTTCAATAGCCTCGCGGATTAACCTTGGTATATATCTGTCTTCACGAGCGAGGATCTGTGGTTTATCAAATCTAATGTAATGGCCTGGTTTGTCCAATGCATGTTCGCACACTGCTGACTTCGACGCGCGCCTATTCCTGACGTCTGAAACGTGTTCCTTAACCCTTGTACCGATGCTTCTCTTTGTCTGTCCGATGTATGACAAGCCACAGTCACAATCAAGTTTATATACACCCGCTTGTTGTAAAGGAATGTTACTCTTGATTGGTCTCAAGAATTGGCTCACTTTCTTATGTGGTTTATAAATAGTCTTGATTGAAACCTTCTTCAAGATGTTGCCTATTCTGTCAGTAACTCCCTTTACATATGGTAGAATTGCAGGTTGTCGCTCAACTGTAGGTGGCGAGGCACGGTTAAAAAACACCCAAATTTCAATAGAGAAGATGGCTGGAACCTATCAAACACCTGGGATCCTCTTCTTAAAAATATAAAATCCCATGTCCGTGACCACACCGCAGGACCTCAAGACACCGTGAGCGCATTTTGCCGGCATCCAGAGCGGTACGCAAGACAATTAAGAAATCGATGGCGGTAGGAGATAAAATGACCAGACCAACTGACAGACACTCACATCTCGTCTGCCCGTGATCACGGTTGCTGAAAAGTAGCCGAAACGTCGGGAGTATGTAGTTTCTAAAATAAAACGCGAAGTAAAATCCGAAAATATTAGTGTCATTTAAATGTGTACTCGCGAAAATCTTAGATCTCATTATTGAGTGTTCTTTTAATTAATTTATCAACTTAAATTTCAATCTCTGGTTTAACACAAAGTTACACAGTTAATAATAGTAAATCTCATGTACTAATTCCAATCAATCAACTAATAATCGCATAATTTGTAACTCTTTTTGGTTAAATAATACTACATTTTGTAATTCTGAAGGACTAAACTAAACTCACATATTAATTTCGCCATTATATAGAAGAGTAGAATATGTACTAGATACTAGAAGAGAGCATACCTATTTTTGAAAGGCCGGCAACGCACTCGGGCGCCTTCTGGCTCCTCGAGTGTTTATGGGCGGCGATGACTATCTCTCACCAGATGGCTCGCCCGCTTGTTTGCCCCCTATGATATAAAAAAAATAAATAAAAAAAAAATGTAAAATACATTTGAAGTTACCAACAAGTTTCTAATTCAAATATTTTTATATAAAAAAAGTGATTCAGTTTCATTATAATGATATCATGAAGGATTATAAGAGATTTTAAAGCTCATTAAAATTTAGTAAAGCGAAAATTTAATCAGCGTATTTTGTTTGATACCTAAATGGTTAAATTTAAAATGTCTAGTATAAAGGATTATTTTGAGTGCTTTTATCAAGTTTAAAAAAGTTATAATGACCAAAAATATTCGTTAAAGCATTATTTCGTATTCTTTTCTAAATGAATAATCCAAGTTATAATAAAGTTTTCAATTGAGTTAAATCGATAAAACATAAAAAGAATTATTATTAGATTATTATTCGTCATGTTTAAAATTGTAATTAAATAAGAAAAAAAAAATACATAAAATATATTACGAATTAGATGTGGACCACAATTTTGATTGAGCTTTCAGTGTAGTCACGCTTCTACGAGCATAAAACAAATTGAAAAACAGAAAATCCAATTCATACTTTATTACTTACGTGTGTTGATAAATGAGAGAAATATTTAGTTTAGTTGAAAAATTTGTATTTTGAATAACTCTTCAGTTATTCGACGGAGTTAATAAAATTTTTAGCTAACAGAAAATAAGTATTTAGAAGGTTTCATAACTGTTTTTCGAACAAAACTACCTAATATATCAAAATAACAAAGTATGAATAATGTGTTTTGTTTTAAAGCTTCGGTTTCAAATATAAAAAAGGAATCATATAAATCAGTTTGTTTCAAAGTTGCCATGGTATGTTTTACACTTCTACTCCCAATTTGTTAAATTCGAATGTAATAATACAACATCAAAACTTTTAAAAAGCTTATTAAAAGTCTAAAACAGAAAGGGAATAGAATTTTTTGAAAGCAACTTATTACTTTAAAGCCCACGAGAGCTTAGACAAATTTAATCAGAGTATATTTTATAAGAAACTCTTCAAAGATTTCTATGAAAAATTAATACCTGAACATTTACAAGAATTTTATATTACAAGAACTTAATTATATGATTTATGGTCGTATGTCTTGAGGAACCTTAAGTCAGTGGTGGCCTAGTGGTTAAGAGACCCACCTCTCATGCACGAGGGCCCGGGTTCGATCCTGGCCCTGGAAAGTATCAATGTGATTTTTCCGGGTCATATGTACTTTCCAAGAGTATTTAGACATCACTGATATTAATCAGTCATGACATCAATCATGCATTAGCATTCCCAAAGAGGGTTGATGTCAGGCAGGCGGCCGGTCGTAAAAACAATTAGCCAAAACTATTCACAACATGTAAGGCAGACCCTGGCGAAAGCTGGGAAAATTGCCAGGTAGAAGTCTTGAGTAACTTATATAGTCTGATAATGCCCAAAAGGTTACCTCTACTTGTTTTGAATATATTCGGTAGATCCCCGTTTATATTCTGTAGATCCCCGTTTTCATCAAATTAATCGCTGGGCGATCGTATATATTTTTACTGAAAGTGTTGAGTTCATCTCTATAAAGCGATATGTTTAAACAGTTTTCACCTGAAGAAGAGAAATGATGTTTGTTATTTTATTCACTTCATTTGTTCCACGTACATATATTTTAAAGAATAAAAAGCAAAATGTTACATTCGTAACTAATAAAACTACAAAACAATTTTCAAGTCAACATTTAGGTGTTATTCTATCTGAATATGTATGTAGAGATAAAGACATCCATTTTAATGATAATAGATGCTTTTTATATAAGCTAAAGTTTTCGAAAGTAGTTTCCATCTTGTAACCTGCTTTGGTAATTTGGCAAATGGAACTGAATAATAAACAAAAGATTTGACAAATATCTTCAAGACAAAATGGCCGTAACAGGCCGCCAAATTCTATCCGCCTTAATTGGCAAACCCTTTATATCTACAGAGATTCGTTTTAGAATCATAAACTGCTTTTCCCAACTCTTGAAAACAGAGACGAAACTTCTCAGCATTCCATGGATTCACCGTGCGGGTGCCGGGTCCATCGCGTTGCAGGGGGAGGAGCTTCAACAGTGCCTGGGACTTGCGACCCAAGTGTAGGTTTAAGGGGCCCCTTAACTAACGCGCGTTATACGCTCACCTCCACTGTCCAAGCTCCTCTCCCTACCTAACCAAATTTGAAAAGAACCTACTAGGGCTGCCTTCGATGTACGTTCCAAGAATGCATTAATGTGAGTTCTGGACAAGCCCAAGTCCTTTAGTAGGTTATAGAGAGATTTCGCTGTTATACCTCTCGCTCCCACCTCTACCGCGTACAAATCTACCACGAACCTATTTCGAGTGAGTTCGTTTGTGAGCTCGTAATATTTGTTGACCTTGATGGTATGGTCTTTGGGGATGTTGGTTTCCCAAGGGACCGTAAGCTCTATCATCACTACGCGCTTTAAAATTCGCGAAAACAAAAATATATCCGGTCTGGAGGCCGACGCACAAATATCCTCGGGGATTTTATATTGTTTTTCATACGTGTCCATCATTATAGTCCAATCCGACGCCGCTTTAAGGATGGAGTAAGGCTTGACGTTTGATTTTGTAGCCCCGGAGCCTTCTCTCACAAAACCTACTGATCGTTCGTTTGTGGTCATTCCCTTTTGCGCTCTGGCTACCGAAAGACTAGCCGCTTCACGTATGACTTCTAGAACCCTATCGTGACGACGCGAGTATTGACCGCTGTCAAGGAGTACCTTACATCCCACCAGCAGATGCTTAGCGGTTCCAACTGCCTTTCCACAGATATAGCAAGTTTTTTCGGTACTTTTACCCCATCTTACTAAATTAGTCTGATCTGGGAGAGTCATCTGGAACGCATTGAGATAGAATTTTAGCAATGCTGGCGACCAATCATAAATTAAAGTGCGCCATTTTAATGCTAATGGGATGCAAAAATCTCCTATGTCTAACCACTCGTTCTGCATTTCTAAATTCATTGCATGGATCTTATATTTATCATTCTCGTCTTGCCGAATAAAAGACTTCAATATATCCGCATCTTGGACTTTCCTATTTGATCCTAACCCCGCTCTGTTACTTTGCGCTCCTATCATAAATTGCTTATGGAATTGAAGTCGTGACTCTAGCTCGGGGGCATCTTCATCTTTTGGGAGCGATGTCACTATGTCATCATGGGATTTCCCCAGGATATATCTCTTGGAAACTCTTAGGTGTTTATAGAGCTCCGATGGCCTTTTTAGACTCATCCCAAAACTATTGCTTCCCCTAAATAACGCCGATGAATCAGCCGTTAGAGCGAGCCCGAGCCACAACTTCCACATCTTTATGACGCCTGCATCTAACTTTGACAAAAGGGTTTTATTAAAATCATAGACGAGGAAAGGCCAATTCAAACGTGAAGTTAAGTAATTCTCGTAGATCCACGCTTTTTTGACGTTACTTATCAGTTGGCTATCTACCTTGTTAAGATCGTTCAAAAAGCTATCTACTATTCCTTCTAAAGATGGAGTACGGCCTATATTATCTATCTTACGACCGAGAAATTTAAATGGTGCATTTTCCGTAACCGTAGAAATGCATTGACCGCCTAACGATAGTCCCGGATCGTATGAGGTGTATCTTGTATTCCGCCTACCAAGACACAGACAGTGACATTTACTGGGTTTTGTCCTCAATCCATCCGTCCACTCACAGAATTTATCCACTTCATCCAATAGTACCTGACAGTGTTTGGGGTTACGTATCAGTATTGCGAGATCGTCAGCGAAGGCTAAAATGGATTCCGTGTATTTATTATTAAACTTAAACCGATAACCCCATTTTTTCTCGTTACAGATTAATTTGTCTACTAAGATGTTAATAACGATATTAAACGCAATTGGAGATAGACAACAACCTTGAAACAGTCCTACATTATAACTAAAAACTTTTTGAAGGGCCTTCTTTAGTTATTATAGAAAACCTTAATTTTGAGTAATACGACGCGATCATATCTCTAACTAGGGGTGGAAAGTTGTACCATCTAAGCGCGAATAGCATCAATTCGTGTTGTATCGACCCGAACGCGTTCTCCAAGTCTATCCAACAAACAGTGATTTGCCGCTCGCTTTTTCTAGCATCTTTTAAACTCTCCGACAGCAAGGTGTTGTGTTCTAAGCATCCAGAAATCCCGGGTAAAAACCCTTTCTGGTGATTTGGCCTAAAATAGTTGTTGCTGAGCATGAATCGCGTCATTCTCGTTTGTAGAACCGAGAAAAAGATTTTCGATATAGTATTTGTTAAAGCTATCGGTCTAGTATCTTTCGGATCAGTAACTCGATCTTTTTTGGGAATGAGGACAAAAATTGCTTTCCCGAAGCACTCCGGGATTTGCTTCCTTGACCAGATTTTACCGTATATATTTAGGAGGTGTTTACGAACCGATGCACATTTTTTAAAGACTATATATGGGATACCATCGGGTCCCGGTGCAGATTTAGACGACTTCCTCTTGATCTGACTACTTAGTTCCTCTAGCGTTGGTGGAATGCCGTGGAATTCGATTCGAGGAAATTCAGGTTTTTGATCGTTTGGATCCCTATACCGTCTTAAACTTTTAGGCACTTCGTATGTGCTCTTAAAATGGTCGTAAATTTGATCGTTGGTCAAGAGAAGCTGTCCGCGTTCTTTCTTAAAAATGGTTTTCGAATACTCAAAAGGGTTTTTATCGAAATCTACTTCTTGTTTTGCCCGGTCAAAATTATCGCGATATTCTGCAGTTTGCGCCGATATTCCTTGGATTAATTTAAGGATTGACCTTAACGCCCTAGCTAGTTGATGACTAAGGTGATTGTCGCCTAGAGCTTTGGCTATACGTAGATTTTTTATTAATTCCCGTTTTTTCTTCCGCATTTTTAATTTGAACGAATTGTCTTTATTTTTGCGAGCATAACGATTACGTGGTGGATATTGCTCGCTAAAGTAGTCATAAACGGTATTTTGGAAAGTTTCTACCTACGAGTTCAATTCCTGCTTCGAGCCCGGATGCTCTAACAGGACCGCTAAGTTGTCGTCATGAACTTTCCAAATCGATTGTTTTAGATTAGGAATGCTAAGACGTGTCCTGATGTTAATGGACTCCTGGTGGTTTCCAGTTAATGGTTCACCATGGGATACATGAGGGTCAACTCTATCCGAAGTGAATGTTGTAGATCTTACCGACGATTGTCGTGCTTCAACCCCATTATGTGTTTTAAGATGTTTAATGTACCAGGCTCGTCTCTTGTAGTTTTTCCCGCACGTAGAGCATTTCAAGTCCGTATTCGCGCCGTTTTCGCCGTTAAAATCGACCGGTGGACAGTTCTTCCGCCCCCCCTCTCGGACTGTCCCAGGGGTATTTTTCTTCTTCGGACTTTTAGCTTTATGTATACCGGGTTGGGCTTGCTAGGCCGTCGCCCTCGGCTGTCTTTCCAGCAGTCATCCGTCTTTCCGGCAGTCATCCGTCTTTCCGGCAGTCAGCTGTCTTTCCAGCGTCAGCCCGTCTCTCCGGGCAGTCGTTTTAAATAAGACGAAACTTCTCAGCATTCCATATTCTCTTGAAATATTTGCGAAAAATATACAAAATTGTATGTTTATTCAAAATAAAATAAGGTGATAAAAATTATCGTAATACATTAATTAATTCATTAAAATAACAATAAAAAATTTCTACCGTTGTAAAATGGTTACATAATTTAAAGTAAAATATTTTTTGTGTGCACCACAAATAATTTTTTTTCATAATTAATAATTATGTCTGTTTATAGAAACCAGGTTGACGTTTATTTGTGACAAAAATATATCCCACAAATTTTATCCATTATAGTCGTAACCATTAAAATCAAAAGTGATAGCTGACTTTGAGTAATGGGTGTGAATAATCATTGTCAAAGCAAATTATTCGGATGTTGAATAGAGAATGACAATACGGACTAAGAGCGTGAATGGGATTGGGTCCAACCTTTGTCATTTTCACAATGAATCATGCCCTATTTTGACTTGGTATTTGGAAAAATATTTTTCTTATAAATTTGGTTTTTAAAACTATTTGTATTGATTGCAAAATAGAACTTCCATTTAGTTTAATTTAGTACAGTAATTTTTAATTTGCTTTTAAATTATTAAAATATATAATATCCTTTTTAAAATCTTATAGTTATTGTTATAATACAACGGGATTATATATATGTATATTTTTTTATCATTTGCACACTAATTCTAGCAATTTTCAAATATTATTTTCTACTCTTCACACAACTTCATAGATTTTAAATTCAAGCAAACTTGAAGTTTTTGACGGTTCACAAACTTTTTTTTCATGATTTTAAACACTATAATTAACATTATGTGGAAACTTAGAGTAAAATAAGTAAACAACAATACTTTATCCTTACTCTTTTCCCACGAAGTCCTGACTAAAATGTAAAATCACTTTTCAAAATTACTCGGTTATAAAAAAAGAAGTAGAAAGTTATATAAATATATATCCAGCTCAAACCAATGTAAGTCATCGTTCCATTTTCTCCTGCAAATACTCTTTATTATTCTAGTCTAGTAAATCATATTTTTACTTTCCTATATGATTTGACGCGAGGGAGTTTCTTTTTAGGGGATTAAAATCATATGCGCTTATTTTAACATCGTAATAAATAATTAAAACTGTCCTGAAAATTCGAAGACTTTTGAAAATAAGAGAGTAAATAACACTTGTGTAATAATTCATTAAAGTTACCAAAGTATCTTTCTATTTAGTAGCAGATATTTTTAAATATTTTATGGTGTGGTAAAATCTTGCAGAAGAATAACTGAATGAATAGAAGAATTTATTTTAATATACTACACCAAACCCAAGTTGACTTTCAAATACATATTGTAGTTCAGGAAATTAGTCTAGACGTGGATCAGTAAAAGCAATCGTCTATCTGCTTCCGACGATGAATCGGAAAGTTGGATATTGCGAGTTCAGAGAAATAATGATCTTTTTACATTAATGCGGTGGATATTAAACAAATTAATAATTAGTGTTCACGATAAATGTCTTGGTAAGATTAAATTCTTTTCATGACTGATAATTCTTTCTAGAAATCTGTTAATCCAATAAAATTGGTAGCTTTTTCTTCTAACAAATTTGAATATCAAAATAAATAAAATACATAGTAGTTTTAAAAGTCATAGTTTTTTCATGAATGAACAGGAATAGTTTGAATGTTTAGGATAATGCTTATTAATTTTTTTTTTATTATATCATAACTAAGTAACAATAAACAGCTTAGATATGTCAACCGACTCATAAACAAATATGTATGTATATTAAATTTTTTTAATCGAAAATTAATCTTTTATTTAGAAAATAACTACTTACTAGTAATAACGGATATTTATTTAAAAAATCGTATCATTAAGGATCCAGATTTTTAGATCCACTATATTCATTGTTTTTTTGTTTACCTTATATGGAGAGAAAAGTTATGCCTCACAACTTTTCATCAATTTTCATTTCAAACTCTTGATTTGTTAAAAAGTATCCGAACCATGCATACCACCCATTATTATAATTTATACGCCATTTAACTTATTAGTAACATCATTAATATTATAAATACTTTTTATACGACATGAATTCTTTAAGAATTATATCTATACATATGAATAGAATTGGAGTGTCTGATAGTAATATTGATAGCTTTTGTAATTAAACACTCTTTTAACTTTATGATTTAAAGGTTTGTTACAAGAAATACAATCGCTAATATCACGGAGTAGTGTTACAAGCTTAGAGTAAATATATGTATATGTAAAAAACATTGAGTGAAGACAACATAGATAATTAAGTCAAATGTGAGTTAAATTTAAATAAGGCGCGAAATTCAAATATACTCAACAAATATTGAAATAACTTTTTTACTATTGTAAAAGCATGTGGTACATTAACCAAAATATCATTTTTTATATTTTTTGTCTGTCTCTCTGTCACCTTGTTCCGGTTGTATTTAGCAAGTTAGAAAATGTTATGCCTATTCTTTTTGCAACCTATTGCACCATTTCGAGCAGTACCTTTCAAAGCTTACTTATAGTTAGCTTGTAGCACTTGGAAGAGAATAAAATATAATATCAAGGCTTAAGTTCAATTCAATTAATACAAAAAAATATTAAAAGAAGAAAACTGTGAGGTAACCAGAAAAAGGTTTCAAATACGTTATATATTTAAAATATGAGCATATGTTGTCATAAATATGTCAAAAGAGCTATGAAATAAATGGAATATTCCTAACTGGTTTTAACTAACAAGCCTCAAGTATCAATAGTGATATCCGGGTAAATACGGATACAATTTTCGGGCAGTTTTTTTATAATTTATGTTATTATTCCAAAATAATATCAAAACATTATAGCTTTATTACTGATTGTTTTTTATTGAATAACTAGAAGACCTGGCGAACTTCGTATCGCCCTATAATCAAGAAATATCGGTTACGTTTTTTTATTTATATTTTTAGAGTTTACCTATTAAAGCCAAAAATCTCCGTGTTTTGAAGTGCGACAGAATGATTGACATATTAGTTAGTTGTCAAATCTAATGTCAAAAAAAAAACGTTTGTATGGGAAATAGAAAAGGGCTGTTTTTATGATTTTCCCAGTAATGAATCAATTTTTTTCAGCTTTTATACCTTCCCTGAACCTCCACGAACATTTCAAGACTAAGATAAGATAAATCCGTTCAGCTGTTCTCGAGTTTTAGTGAGACTAAGGAACAGCAATCCATTTTTATATATATAGAAGATAAATAATTTTATTATTATCTTTATAAGTTATTTACTGTTGGTCCATAAGAATATCAAGTATAAGTATTTAAAGTATATATGTAGATAATAACTAATAACATTAAATCTCTGCACCATGCTTCACAGCTTACAAACCTGAAAAGACTGGAGGCATTAAATTTATATCAACTAAAGAAACTCTCTTAAAGTCCAAGTTTATGTAAATTTGGGAGAACTAATATCACATATTTGTTCTTAGTTAGTTAAAAATTTATTGTATTCAATTACTAGGAGAGAAAATCAGAATAAAAACACTTGTTGGAAAGAACCTTCGCGGAAAAATTGATTTCTTAAATCTAAATCTTAATCTGAGCACACAGGCAGGAATACGGTTATTTAGAAAATAATCAAAATACTTTTCGTTTTATCACAGTAGGCTGAAAGAAAAGATCGGTCACAAAAGATAACAAGCAACAAACGTGTGACATGGAAGTAATTGGTGGCTTTTAAACCTCAATGGAAAAAAATTATAATCTTTTAAGGAAAGCAAAATTTAAATGGAGATTTATAAAATTAAGTAGAGCTTGTCTATAAGTGGAAGTTGTAAGTTTAATACATAAAATAGTTTCATGCATAGTTGTTGGCGAATAGAAACACGAACACAAAGTGCCACCGGGTTGCTTTTTAAACAGCATAATTCTTAGAAATACTTGCACAATACGTCAGCTGGTGGGTAACGAGTAAGAAATTTCAAGTATTACTTTTATTATTACCGCAGTGGTTTTAAAGCAATGAATCGCTATTTTTGAGCTTGGAACTGTGCAAGTCAGTTGGAGCGTGCAAGTCAGCGTAGAGAACAAAATACTTTGCCGTTATTAAAACAGTCCGAGTTCTTAAATAGCCAACTGCATTATCGTGAAAACGGAAAAATCTTTAACATCAGAAAATGGGATACATACATATATGGGATACATAGCAACAGCAAAATTTAAATATACTCGTATATACAAAAGTCGTTAAAGACCCCACCGTTCCTAACCATGGCTATCTACTCTCTGATCTCACTTTATGAGATGTCTTACTCTTCAAGTAGATCTGAATGATTGCTGATCC